TGTTAGCGCTTTCGAAGTATTACGTGAAAACGAGTTATCTATTATAATAAATAAATGAATAAAAAGTTTAATGTAGAATTTGAATAATAATAATAATAATGTGAATAATATTATAAATGCATAAAATATTTTTTTTACCAAAACACAAACAATAAGTTCCTTCTTCCTGCACTTTAAAACTACCTTTAATGGTAGTAGATGCTGAATTATAATGTTCAATTGGTAAGATTTCTTTTAAATCAGGATCTTTAATAATTTGAGCAGACACTGACTTTTTGCGTCCACGATTAGAAATGGGACTAGTAGGTTGAAGCGAGGAAACAGGGTCATGCAGTGTGGTGTCTAATTCTGTATTGTATCCACCCGATGCTTCTTCACTATCGTCGGCATCATTTGTGTCAGTAGAAGTTCTACTTCTAACACTATGTAAACTTGTTCTACTGGTTATAGATTTAGCTGTTGATGGGGTGGGAGGTATATTTTGCCTTGGAGAAGCGGATCCGCTTTCTGAAAGATTACGAAATTCTGTATTTGAGGTAGTAGTTGCAGCGACAAAAACATTTCTCGCCGAAACAGCTAGCCCCTTCCTTTGATATAATCCAAAAGAAATGTTTTTCTTCTTTGTGGAAAACCACCATAATATGATTTGTCCTTTTGCAACGTTAACATAGTGAATGAAGACATCTCTAGGAGCAACTTCAACTTCTTGCATCTTTAAAGTAAAATATTTTAAATGAAAGTTTATTTATTAGTGTGTAAAGAAAGGGGAAGCGGAGCTAATAATTCGGAGTTATCGATGCAAACTGGTTTTTTTCTCGAGTGTAATTATGGATCGCGATCCGATCATATGACCGATCGTCCAATCTAAAAAAGTTGGTCCGAATAGTTAATTACCTTTATGATGCTATTTTAACGTGTGACTTAAAAATTTAGAACCTTTTAAAATGACCTTTTTTCAAATCTGAATTTCATTATTCACTTTAGCTCAAAAATCGAGTCGATGATGATTAGTTCTATCCGTTACACTGATTAATTGAATTACTGCGAGTTGATCCTCGCCCAAAAATCGATAAAAAATTCACTTGGAGAAGAAAGGTTTTTACTCCAACATTGAGATTTATTGACAAAATTGTAATATAATTCGCTAATATGTAATAATGAAAAGTAATTTTTTTTATTCTCAAGAATCATGATTTTAACAAAATTCTATCATGTCCTGCCATTAATACCTAATACACGTTCTCTTTTAGAGCAATCGTATACATGACCATAACAAAATGTAATTTCTTCGATTGATGTGTGAAAATTGGTTTTCTATCGGTACACCTAAATCAAAAATAACAAACAAAAGGCTTTATAAATAATATCATTTATAATTAAAGTACTTTTTCTGGATCAGCGAAAGATTCGGTAAACGCATTTTTAATTTCCATTTTTTTGACGCTTCTTTTACCTCAAGATATCGGTTTAAAAATCGATCTTGACGTTAAAAACGTGGGAGAAAAAAACTTGTTTTTATGAATGAGGTAAAATTGGTAAATGAATTTCATTGCACGACCCCTGAATGAACCACCAATTGTTTATTAGACTACCAAAAACGCGTCTTTGAAACAAGTCATGTTATTTTGAAGAGAAAGACAATTTTATTCTCACATAATGCAGGATGTGGGAACACAGAAGAATTATTCCAACTAAATTTGAGACATGAAGTTCACCGATACCACATGTAGGTTAAATTAACAAAAGACTAACTTAGCCAATCAAAACCGTTTTTGTAAAAGATAGATTTAAAATTTTAAATTGAAACTGGGGCGTATCGATCAATTTAACATCTTTAAAATGTTTTAATACGTGCATAATTTGCAATTTAAATTCTCGCAATTTTTTTAATCCGTTCCGCAGAAATAAATTTTATAAGACAATTTTTTTTCTACGATTTAAATTTTTTTTGTTACCTATTTTTTCTTTGATGTTTACCACCAATATCCTCGTTAAGTTGTTGAAAAATACAAAAAAAATTCGAGAGTGAAGAATACGCCAAGAAATATAGGGAAATATTCTTCCCATTAAACTTGAAGCGAATAATATTTTGTTAAAAAGACTAGTGCAACACAGCTGATGTGAACTGGTTTCTCATGCAGAACGATTCTACATTAGTTCCTTCTATCGAGGGTCATTGTCCGTAGGTTTACTAGCTTATTATTCTTGTCAAAAAGTTTTTTATAAAGTTTAGTATACAATTAACAAAATGAGATACTAAGAATGATCCATCGATAATAATCCTTTGTTTATGCAGTCAATTTCATATTAAAACCTGTGATAATATTGAATTACACCGTGTAATTTACTCTGTCTCAATCGTTCTTGGAGTTATATTGGCCATTACCGCAGGCGGACTGTGGTTAAAAAGACGAATTTATATCGAGTCATCACAGAGAGTCGCGTTCCTTGACGGATATTTATTATGGCAAACAATGCATGCATTAAGTGAGTTATTTATGTTAATAATTTGATTATATGATGAACCAACATTCTGTGTTATTATTAATAATACTATTTAATTCCCCTTTTAAGTTCGAATCATCAGTGACATAATAATCCTTAGCAACCTCATTGAGGAGGAATTTATGGTTTTAGAGCTCGTCTATGACATACCATTTTACTGTGATCAAGTTTCGGTGATATTATTTATTCTCGGAATGTAATTATTATTTTACCAATTTTCTTTTAGCTTAAAAAAAATCATAAATATTCAGGAAATTAATTAATTGTTTATGTACTTTTTTCTCGTGGAAATCAAGCTTACTCGCCATTCCTCCTTCACGAACTTCTCCTAACTCTCAAAGGACTTTGCGGAACATAATACCATCTCATAATAGCATAATATGGTTCTTTCGTATATTCTCTTTCATATTTTTTCCATCACTTGCCATCCTTGCTTTGCTCACAGGATATTTTCATTCAATGTGGAATGCAAAACCCGACGAAGATAGACATTATAAGGATCTCGAAACACATATGATTCGTGCACACTACATAGTTTATGCTATCAGTTGCGTTTTGTTAGCGATTTGTTTTGCATACTTTGGTAGAAAAGTGAAAGGTTTCGCAGAATGTAGCATCGGACTATTAATGGGTAGTGAAATGGATTCAAGATATCATCGCCTCAGATTAATGAGAAGGTCCATTACAAGGGTATTTAAATTTTTTTTATATGGGATTAATCTTTATTTTAAGTCATACTAATTAATATTTGATTTGGTGTGGATGATTAGATGAATATTGTAAATGGTTTTTTATGTGCAAAGTATTTGCTATTTGCTATCGCCGCAACGATCGCTGCATTTCAACTTGTGGTAATATTTTCCCATACATGGATTGCTCAAATTGCTGTCATCTTGGTCATTAATTTCCCTCTTGTTTCAATGATTTTATGTACATTGTTAATTCTATATGGGTAACTTTTAATTATTATGAATCGAAGTTTTTTTTTCTTAAAACAAAATTGCTTTTATTAATACTCATTTTAATGTAGAGATACAAATCCCGAAAAGGCGTTTGATACGGATTTTTCAGACATGTCGCATTTGCCGCATAAATTTTTAACATGGAATTATACAGTAGAATCGTCTAATCAACAGTCTGATAAAAATGAATTGAACCTTTTACCACCTCCTCCCTCATACAAAGATGATAATATAAATCAACAATATGTTAAAGAAATAGAACGAATACCACCACCCAACATAAACTGTTGTAGTGATGCTTCAAATTCCACAAATAATCGTACATCAGGTGTTCAAAATTCATCTACAATATTACCAAACATCATAATATCCTCACCGCCAGAAATATCAATTGCAGAAAATAGACCAAGCCTTGTTGTTGGAAAATCCAAGTTTATAGCTGCTTGGATATTAGATCAGCACGAAAGAACTTCCACAAAAGAAATGACATCATTATCAGAAGACAACAACCAAGGATGTATTCGATATTAATCCTTGTTATTTATTTATCTTTAAAAGATACAGTTCTTACTTTATATAAGCGCTTCATATAAAAACTTTCTCAAATATCATAATCATGATACCTACCTAACCAACTTTCATTTGTATTTTTATCATATGTAAATTTAATATATAATATCACTTGGTGTGTTTGGAAGTTGTAAATGTACATTGTATTATCCAAATTCATACACATATTTTTCTAAAATATATTCACACAGCTTTAAATTAAAAGCTGTACTAATGTAGAGTTTTATTTTTATAATTTCTAAAAATGTGAATAAAACATCTAATACATCCCCTTTTTTTATATATTTTTTATTCTCACTCATAATTTTCATATTAGCACGTTGATCGACATTATATAATAAAACTTAATTAATTACTAAAGGAAAAAAAAAAAGAGGTAATTTCAATCGGTTCTTGGCTATTTTAACCATACTATTATATACGGGACTAGCGTTAAATGGAAGAATTTACGTTGGTTTAACTTAATGTTTTTAATAACTAATTATTTAAAGCCAAAGTTTGTGTAAAACAAGTTTATTCGTTAAAAAAAATAATAAGCTTTGACAAATTTGTTAAGATGTTGTTTTTGAAGTATGAATTATATTAAGCGTATTTTCAAAATAAATTGACAAATTATATTTGGAATAATTCTTTAAAACTCTTATTTTAAATTATGAGCTAATAAGTCCTAATAAACTAGAAACTTTAAACATTTCTAAACATTGTTCAAGTAAAATAAGACCCAAATGGTTACCCACTAAACCACATGATATTATATATAAGTTGTTCATTGACCTGTGTAATATTATGCATTAATATTTAGTAATGATATATTATTATGTAATATTTCTATATATTTTCTACCGCAATAAAGTTCATATAAAAAAGTAAATTAATCAATTTTCCGTAATAAATAAATATATAATACAAAAATGTGAACCAATTAGAACAAAAAAAAAGGATATAAATACTCATTAATGAACATTAAAATACTGGCGAATTCATGATAAATAAATTTTCCTCCTCTTTTTTGATCCATTTCAATAATACGAGGGAAGAATTGGTCAATGCTGTTTTAGATATTAATGGACCAAACGCGGCGTATAATTCAAATGTTGCTGTTATCTTTGATTAATAAAAGAAAGAATATTAATATGATTTGTCATAAAAGAAAAAAAAAGGAAATAAAAAAATAATAATAACAAAACATACCCATCCTAATATAGTTTCTGACGGACTCACGTAATAATGTACTTTGAGTGGCCGAACACGTGAGTGCATACGATCATGTGTATACCTATATAACTTAAACAACCTAAAATAATAATAAATATATATAAATATATGTATATTTCAGAAAATACTCTGTAATTGCATAAATTCCATACCTTCGTTTCTCACGAGGATTATTATATGATGCCAAAAACGCAGGTGATGTGTATTGTAAACACGTCTTTGATTTATATATAAAATGTCGCAAACCTGCCACACCAATATCAGCTGTTCACAGTAATAAATAAGGCATATTTACATTAATAAATGGAATTAATTAATTGAATAGGATTGTTTGAATCAAACAAAAAACAAACCTATAGAATAACCCTCACTCTGTGAGGCTGCTTCTATCCCTTGCAAAGCATCGCAAGCGGTGAGTTGCTAAATAATAAATCAAATTAATACATATAACGATCAATTATATGGAAATTTTAAAGAATGAGAAAGTGAATTTACCTCAACTATTGTATTTTTGGCATCAGATAATTCAAAAAATTTATCCTTGTCTGGAGATATCAAAAGAAGACATACGTTTGCGGTAATATAGCACACGTAAGCGTGGAGGAATCCTTTATTGTTGAACTTTGGAAGACATATTGGGGTCCATGATTCAACCGAACGAAAAGTTGAAGACCCATTTACCATATTAAAAACCAAGTGAAGATCTTTACAAGAAAATTGATCTGTCAATAAACATATCAGACGATAAAAGCATTTAGGATAATATCGATCATACCTGCTGAATGAAGACTGTGTTTTTTAAGTCTCAGCAATGTGATTAATTTATTATTTGTTATTAACATAGCATATAAAAGGTCCTATAACAGATATAAGGAAGTTAAATAAACAACAAGTTTATTAATAAAAATTTATAAAAGTTCAATACCTTTGACTTTACTATCTGCAAAATATTTCCAACTTTATCTCGTAGTTCTTTGCTCATTCTGACACATTGAATCGAACCTAACATGAACCCCGGTTCATCGCTCATAGAATTCGCAAGCTTATCCAAGAAAGGCTCAGTACCTATAAAAGTAAATGGCAAATTTATAACAAAAAACTTGAAACATTGTTAACCATAAAAGCAACAATAAATCAGCTTCTATAATTGATGAATAACCTCCAAGCAGACGACGCAAATCAAAATTCATTCTTTGCTCATAAATCTTTGTTAATTGAGTGGACGTCAAAACACTTAAAATTTGATTATATAAATAATTTAACTGTTCTCTAAGCTGTAAAATATGTAAAAAAATTTAAAAAAAAAGTTGTGATATTTAAAAAATTAAATTCAGATATGCACAATGAACTTATTGTATATACTTGAGACTCTGATTCATTTGTTCGGGAAACGGCTACAAGATACAATGGTCCCTTGAGTAAAAATACAAACTTATGATTTCCCGCATTAATACATCTATCAATAATATTGTTAGGAGTTGATATATTATTCTACATCAAAAAATAAACTTATAGATTCCTAACCTTAGAGAATCTTCGGCATCAACAAAAAATGAAACAATGGCTTGAATCACACCCATATAACTTGAAATACGTGATTCATCTCCATACCTATTAACTCGGAAAATCATAAATTAATTAAATAATTCAATATAATATTCGAGTACATTTATTATTTACCGCGTATAGATCGGCTTGCCAGAACTACTAAGTATAAAAAAGTGTTTTCGATGTCGAGACCAAGTAACAGATTGTGGATCTAAAATTAAATTGTTGAAATTTTAGCTTGAATTTTTGTAAAAAGTTTGCTTTTAAATATTTGTCCTTTTTTTTAATACAATAAATAAGATAAAAACACCTTCAACCTTCATGTCCATACTTGCGACGATATCCCGAATATTCTTCGTCTATTGGAATAGCTGGCATATCATGATTATTCGAATGACCATTACTCATTTTATGACTATCGATCCATTCTATAGAGCTATCTGAATCTTAAAATTAAAAAAGCAATCCTGAAATTCAATAAAAATGTCGGCAAAAAAATGGATTGTGATAATGAAAAAATATAATTCAAAAAAAGGAAAGATACCTATTTCATGTCTCGCATCAAAATCCAAACTCATATCACTTTCCGGCTCACTAGTAAAATTCCGCTTTTGTTTATCAACGAAGCCCTTACAAAACGTTAAATATTCATTATCAGTTGAAGGAGCCGAGTTAGATCTATTCATAATTTCCAGGAGATAATCGTCTACAGAACTTTCCTTTGGACGGCTCTCTCCATTAATGCTACTATCTAATAAATTTGAGATTGCGTTGAAACTTTTTACCGACGACCCAGCAGAAGAAGAGCTGTATGCTTTAGTAGAAGGAACACTTAATGAGAGTTGTGTAGTGGGTTTTGTTTTGTATACTCCAAATTTACGTTGAGGTTGTAATGTGGGTGAATATGGTTCATCTGAAGTGATAACACTATTAGAATCAGAAAGAATATCTTCCATGATGGGCGACATTGGTGATAAAAGTGGACTTTTTGGTAATGAAAACGACATGATGAAAATGTAAGTTGAATTTTAAACACCTAAAAACTGGATGATATATATTTAAGCTCAAAAATCGGATCATCGGATTTAATGCCAAATTCAAATATCTAGTGAAACTTCGTGATGGAATGCTGCAAACGGACATTGACGTATTCCGCCAATCTTTAAATCAATATTTGGAGAAACCATTGCACAATTTTTACATGTAACACGAGTTGTAGAATAATCAAGTTGAAAAAAAGAGTCAATTCAATCTCAACCAATAACGATTTTTAAGAGTTAATATAAATTGCCGATCGTCCAGAGATTAATCAAAAAATGTAGCTCCAATTATCCCAAGGTTTTTGCTAATGAGTATAGTTTGTCAAGGTAATAGTAATCGAACTTATGGCAAAAATAGGAATCATCACTTGCAAAAAATTCTCGATAAAATTTTTAGTCATTTTGCATTTACTCATCAAAAGAGAACCATGAGATGGTTGTTAATAATGCATTTTTTCTTTTACAATATGGGACCTTTGCAATAGAAAGGGTGGAAACTGCTGGAAAAAATGATTTCCATTTTGATTTTTCCTGATAGTTTCCCCTTTCTATTGTAAAGATCCCATATGAACAAAATAGCCTTGTAATACCTGTGAAATCCCACATACCAAGTTTCTGGTATGTTGGTAAGGTGTTAACCAGCGTAGGCATATATCATTTACATATAAACTTTTACAGTGAACGATATATTCATTTTTTTAATAAGTACATAAGCAATGAGCTAAATGTATGGTGTGTTGAATGAATGATTCGAAAAGAAATTACAGCATTATAATCTTTGATGCATCTTTTACAATTATAAATTTGTTTTTTAAAATTGTAAACTTCATTTTACTTTTAAAAAATAAAAATAAAATAAATAAATAAGGGAAATTCAATCTGTTTGCACGATAAATTCTAGGAAACGGTGCGAAAAAAATACTATTTTGTCAGGCGCAAAACCTGTTTTAATATTCTTGTTTATCGACGTCTCGATTATAATTATTCGTCAGTTCCGCCCCTTGATCATAAAACAATGACTCGTAAATGCTGAAATTACAAAACATATTTCGAAAATAAAGAAAAAAAGGCAGTTTTCCTTTAATTCAAAAATATGATATGTTGCACAGTAAAATAGGGACAGTTAACTAATTTTAATCAACCGAGATTAATTTTAAAGATATTTTAAATTTCTATCGTCAAATATTATTTAACTTTAAACATTTTTTTTTCATGAGGATATATTTTTATAACAAAAAAAAAATTGTTTGAACGTCGGCATTTCTTATAAGAATGATACATGTTTATATGATATAACAGAATATGTTAATATGACTTTTAAATAGAAAATATACATATATATTTATATACACAGCCTGGAATGGTTCATTAATCAACTATTTCGGTAAAGAAACTCTACGAATACGAAATTATCGTACCGTTTAAAATAAATATGATACTTGAAATAAGTTAAAAAATTAATTGTGTAAGGCTCATTTATGCATAGATTCACAATCGTGTCATGATAATAATATCTCCGTTAACTTTTTTGATACTTATTTTTGTAAAATTCATTTTATTTTATTTGAAAACAAAATTTATACATATAGTATTATTGAGGTATAATTAGATTAGATTTGAATTGCATCTTTGCGTTTCGTATTCTGTTTACATTAAATCACGTAATTTTTATACTGAATTTTTTACCTCTTATAAACCTTCAGAACTGCAACTAATTTTTATAACGTGATGCACGTAATGTGTTTAACTTGTTATTATAGCATTCTTTCATGTAAATAATAGATAATTTAAGAAATTTCTAGAAATTCGAGAAGAATGTCATTGTGCAATCGCTTATAGTCTCATGGAAAAGTAATAGAATGAATGGATTTCCATTATTTAAGAGTCAAATATCAGTGAGAAAATAAAATTTCTCACTGGGAAGATACACTTGGCGTTTCCTTGAATGAGACGAATAAATATAAAAATTATTATATCACATGGATTAACTGCTCTAGACCAGTTAGATTGGATGCATAATTCTGCAAAACCTGTCTGATTTAAAGTATATGAATAAGCATTTTTATATGAAAAGTTATTAAAATCAAAATTCATCTTATTTAACGTTAATTAAATATTATCAATTCTGAAAAAGAAGGTGTATTTCTAATTTGGTAAATCTTTTCAACTCCATTTATTTTATTAGGATGAATTCTAGGAAAAAGATTTCCTTTAATTTTATGATCATTATCATATTTCAACAATTGTATTCTAGAACGTACTTCAAAAAACTTCCCAATAGTTGATATGGGTATAAGAATGAAATTCCATACATCGATTTCTTCTATTTCAGTCTTGTAAAATTTCCACAAGAACGGCCTTCCCTGCTGATTTTGCGAATGAGTAGTCAAATTATCTTCATTTAGAACAGTATTTGTTTCTTGAATTAAAAGTTGAACTTGACATTCTATATTTTGTGAACGCTATCTCTAGGAGGTATTTGATTAATATATACATAAGTTTGAAATTCTGGCGAAATTCGAAGGAATTTATAATTCATTATATTGAAGAATTATTATGTGATATTTGTATCCTTATAGAATAAGCTAGCCTACATTGGATAGAGGTGTGATCAAATCCGGATAATCCGGATTGCAATTCATTCGCACAATTATACGAATTTGAATAATCCGGATTTTGACCGTTTGACCGGGTTATTGTAATACAAAGCTTTTTTTGTTACACCTTAACATGACATCATTAATTATTATGAAATCCGTTCAAAATTTTTATGATACGTATATAATCATATATTGATTTTTTCCCATTTCTTGTATTAACTCTATTTGGTTCTTTGCCATTTATGATATACCAAATTTTTGGGTTACATTGGTATTATCTAATAACGGATTTGTCCTAACATTCTCTTAATCTTGTATTTTCCTACTAAAAGGAATATCGGCTAGGTCTCAGTAGCATCTATGGATAAATAGAATGGTTGATCCTACTGATTCTAGAACTGGAGAAAATTTCCGTCTTCATTAATACTTTGCATCCTTTAAAGTTTTCCAAAATTTATTTAGATTTTTCTATACGTTGGTCTATATATGAATATGCATGAGAAACAGATAAAATAACGAGAAAAGCAATGCAGTTTGTAGAAAAGGGAAAATCCCAATTTTGGTCAAAATTTATAATATTGGACTATTTGGCTGAATTCGGTCATGTGCACAAAATTAGCTTAATAATTAAAATTAACAAAAATTTTGGATTTCCCCCCTCCTATATATTGTACTTACTTTGCTCTGCGCCTTAAAATTTTTTGCTGATTCTACGAATATTTTTTGCTGGACCAAACGGCTATAAAACAATTACAATATGGGTGCCAATCACCATTTTGGTGATCAACACAAATGATATTAAAATTAGTTTATGTAATTTGAAAAAAGTATACAAATTTTATAAGCAATATTTATGTGCATAATTTTAAAGTATTCCTAAATTTTTGATCCAGAAAGTTACTGATTTTAGCAAAGTTGTATATAGCTACTATAATACATTGATCACAGATGATGATTATTTCTACAAATTATTTTCATTAATAATTATCGTTATATGTTCAAGAACTAGGTTATCATCGGGTTCTAGGTGATCTGAAAAGTAATGGTATATCTCGATCAATATTTTATTAAATACAATATTTTAACGAATTTTGTCTCTAACCTTTCTTCATTTTTGGAACGCTTGGTTTTTGGAAGGATCTGTACTCCTGCTGTCTAGCAGGAATTGCCACCTTCCCATGTGCAAATTTCTCTTTTTCGGCCTTATTCTTCATTTGTTTGAACCGGGAAATAGTAACCGACAATAATTTCTGCAAGAAATAATCAAGTAAATACAAATAAAACTTTAGAAATTAAAAAGGTTGCTTAAATGTCACTTCACTTTTATTTGGAGCATAGACCGTGATATTTTAATGATAAACTCGAGTTCTTGATATTTTGTTGGAATGTCGAAATCATCTAAATTCACAGATGCATAATATTCACCTCCAACGTACAGAGGGTAGCCAAAAGTATCCGCACACTAAGTTTGACATCGTATAGCTCAAGATCCACCGATCAGAATTAGTTCAAAATTTTATATAATCTTAATACAATCTCAATCTATAAAATATTAAAATTTCATTTAATTTGAATCGGTGGAAGCTGAGATATGTATATAAACGTAAATTCATAAATATTTTAATTATATAAAAATTTTGAATACTAAAATTTAACATCATATATCGCAAGATTCACTGATTAGAATTAGTTATAATTTTCATATATATATGACATAATCTTGAACTATATTATATCAAATTTTCATTTAATTTGAATTACTAGAAGCTGAGATATAACAATATATAAATAATTTTAATTGTAAATTT